AGTCCGGCTACAGTGAAAAATATCAAATATAATTTCACTATAAAAATATCAAATATAATTTCACTGTAAAAATTATCAAGTATAAATTCACTTTCATTGCAAAGCATATAATAATCTGTAAGTACTGGACTAAGTAATGAGGATATGTTATCATATTTCTTTGTTTAATAATTAAAGTTTAATGCTTATAAAATATTGTTTTCTATATATTTTATGATAATAAAATTATGTAACTAGAATCAGCTTATTTTTTTATCATTAACACATGTACTTACTATGATGGCCTTGATGTTAAAACGACTGCACTGTACTCAGTTATTCTGGGTTTGAGCTTAGCTGGGAGAAATTAATATTTTATGACACCAGTACTGGGTTGTCCAGAAAATTGACTTAATTGAGTCAATAATGATTTCATTTATTTTACAATTTTCCGAGCAACAGAGCTAAAGTAAAATACTTGCTAGTAATTCATTAATTCAAGAAAAATGTTATGATTATGACTATATAAGGGTGATGTTTACTAGATACTCAAAGAAATTGTGGACAACGACAACAAGCAATCCTGTCATCACGAGAGCTCACCTCTGAGCCATCATGTAAGCTTCATTAACGAAGCTTTCAGTAATAAAATAATTTGCCCATGTTAACCCATTACTTCATATACACGCCTTTTAACGCCTTTTTCACCCCCCCCCCTTTTTGTTGTCTCAAATGATGAAAAAATGCCTTATTTAGGCCCCAAACACTTGTTTTTGTTTGAGAAATGTTGTTAAAAAAAGTGACCCTTTTTTCGGCGCGGCCCCCCAACCAAAAGATACATCAGGGGGTTGCCAGAAGGGGGATGTGCCCCCTTCTGTTTGGGGGGGTTTGAAGGGGGGCGGAGTCCCCCTCATCGCCAAGAAAATTTTGGACTTGTGAGAGGCTGTAAATGACCCCAGATTGATCATAAGGTAACGTGTAACCAACGCTGAAAAGCATTTGACTCTATCTCAATCCATTGAGAAGTTGCAGCACTTTGAAATCAATTTTGATGGAAAAAATCAACGCAAAATAGTGATTTTTGGCAATTTTGAGATGTCCCCTCGTTGCCATGGTAACAGAAAATTTAAGCCTGAGCATGTTGTTGCAAGGACAATGGTCCAGTCAACATTTGTGCCAAGTTTGATTAGTGTTGAAGCAGTTTTTATAGTATTATAGCAATTTGAACTTGTAACGGGAGACTTTTCAATGAAAACAGCCATTTTTCACAAAATGCTCATGAAGCAATGGGTTAAGACAAGAGATGGTCGAGATTGCCAATTGCATGTTGCAGCTACTGTGTAGCAGGAAATACAAAAATCTTTAATAGGCAAGACGCGTTTTTGTTATCTAAGGGGCATAACCCAGCCAAACATCATTAAATTGATAAACCCGTGTAACATGCGCAAGTACTTGTACGACTGTTATATCATGTAAAGTTTCATTTAACTTGCATTAGTGGTATAGGAGGAGTAGTCCGGATAAATTTTAAATATACAAATTATTAAATGACTTTTGCAAGAATCATTGAAAATTAAAGCTCTTATAGCAAACCCAATGTTTCAAGGAAGCCACCCAAAACGACAAAATGAAAATGTTGCTAGAGCCTTTTCATGGACGGCACTGTAAAGTGCAAACTACCGTCCACGCCCCTTAGCACCGGCTTAAGAAGAATTTAACATTTTAAACATGAAACGGCAAAATTTTGAATTTAGAAACATCCGTAGATGTGCTCATACGACATTTATCATGAACCATAAATCATGGAGCTAAATGTTTTTGTTTATATATCTGTGCATAAATGTGACACTTCCGTGCCGTGCCATTCAATGAAAAGCGGCGTACATATCTAACAATTAATATCAAATCATTTACAATTATATTTTTCGCTAGAATGATTATTAAGTGCTATTTGAGCCTCATTGTATCCTGAAATATTCGGTTCTCGATAATCTAACAATAATATGCAAAAACAACGAACGGAAAAAAGACTCACCTTTATTCTAAATACATCCTTTAATCCATAAATATATTCTTTTTACTTTTTTTTACTTGTTAACAATCAATGGAGTAAGGAATAAAAAATATTTTCAATAAATCAAACTGTCAAAAAAGAAAGGATTTCCAAAATGGCGTCTTGAATTCTCGATAACACGATATTAAACTCAAAACGAGGCTGTGTTAAGTTTGACATGCTATAAACTACAGTTGCAGTAGAATACTGTATTTTTTCTCACAACACGGACTGGAGAGCAATATTTAAGGTGAACCCAATGGGAACCGGTGGCACTATCAAACTGTGCCTATAGTGGGTGAATTCTATTGCACCATGGGAATGCTTGTCTACATAATATTGATGACATTGGCAACACTTATCTTCATCAGATATCTGATTCATTTTCACTATCAAAGAGGTCAGATTTTTCAGAAAGTTCAATGTCTTGTTTGTTTTGTTTGGATGGACCTGGCTTTTGTTTATCATTTATTTGAAGATTAAAGCTGGTGGCTGAATTCTTTTTGTTCTTAGCAGTTTTAGCTTTTTTCTTTTTAGGATCATTTGAATTTTTTACTTTTACTTTCATCAATGTATTTTTTCATTTTTTCTAGTTTTACATTCCAATGCTTTTCCACCAATAATACTGTAAATGCTGTTACGTTATTTCTTCATGATTTTTATATGTACATCACCAACTTTCTTATCAAAAAAGTTATTTTCTGCTGTTGCAGATTTTTTGTGATCTCCTGATGCTGTCACTTCATCATCAACTATGTACAGTTCAGATGGTTTGATTTTACTTTTTAAAAGTTCAACCATAGAGGATGAGTTTTTGAATGGATAAATGACTGCCTTATTGAAAGAAGCTTGTCAATTTTAAGGACTTAGAGCATATGAGTACGCCTTGCAAACAAGTGAGCAGACGTGTTATCATAACGTGTTACAACTCTATGATGTGTTCTAGCAAATTTAGAACATTCTTGAGCATATATCAGTTGCAGGGGACCAATACATCCAATGTCCATAGGCTGAAGGATATGAGAGGTGTGTGGAGGCAAGACAAATAGAACAATACTTTGCTGTTTAGCCCATTCAACAAGATCAACTGATATGTGACTACGATGACCATTATACAGTATAAGAATTGTGTCATCTGATCATCTCTGGCAAAACTTCATAAAATGGTTTTGCAAATATTCTTTAAAGACTGCACTATTTGACCAACCACTTGGTGTCATGATACCATCAGCACCAGGGCTTTTTCCTTCCAAGTGACCATCTAACATTCTGACACCAGGGAAAACAAACAAGAGGGCCATGATGGCCCTGAGGTCGCTCACCTGTATATAGCCCCCCCCCCCACCCCGCGGCCCAATTTTTACCCAAGGGCTTTTATTTGTTTATTTGAACAGACTTGGTAGACACCCATAAGAAGATGTTTCATGCAAAACATCTAAGTTCTAGCTCATTGGGTTTTTTAAAAGAAGATTTTTTAAGTTTTTACTATACACATATAGTTAAAAACAATGACACCCCTCGGGCAGGGCCAGTTTTGACCCCTGGGCTTTTATTTGAACAAACTTTGTAGATATTTACTTAAAGATGTTTCATGCTTAATATCTAAACTCTAGTTATTTGGGTTTTTTCAAAGAAGATTTTTAAGTTTTTGCTATGTATATAAGGAAAATCAATGACCCCCGGGGCGGGGCCAGTTTTGACCCCAGGGCTTTTATTTGAACATACTTGGTAGACACCCATTAGAACATGTCTCATGCTAAATATCTTAGCTCTAGCTCTTTGGGTTCTTTAAAAGAAGATTTTATAAGTTTTTCCTATATGCATATAAGGAAAATCAATGACCCCCTGGGGCGGGGCCAATTTTGACCCCAGGGCTTTTATTTGAACAAACTTGGTAGACATTCACTAGAAGATGTTCCATGCCAAATATCTAAGCTCTAGCTCTTATGATTCTTTAAAAGAAGATTTTTTAAGTTTTTACTATATGCATATAGGGAAAATCAATGATCCCCGGGGCGGGGCCAATTTTGACCCCAGGGCTTTTATTTGAACAAACTTGGTAGACATTCACTAGAAGATGTTTCATGCCAAATATCTTAGCTCTAGCTCTTTGGGTTCTTTAAAAGAAGATTTTTAAGTTTTTACTTTATGCATATAGGGAAAATCAATGACCCCCTGGGGCGTGGCCAATTTGGACCCCAGGGCTTTTATTTGAACAAACTTGGTAGACATTCACTAGAAGATGTTTCATGCCAAATATCTAAGCTCTAGCTCTTACAGTTCTTTAAAAGAAGATTTTTTAAGTTTTTACTATATGCATATAGGGAAAATCAATGACCCCCTTGGGCGGGGCCAATTTTGACCCCAGGGCTTTTATTTGAACAAACTTGGTAGACATTTACTAGAAGATGTTTTATGCCAAATATCTAAGCTCTAGCTCTTACGGTTCTTTAAAAGAAGATTTTTTAAGTTTTTACTATATGCATATAGGGAAAATCAATGACCCCCCGGGGCGGGGCCAATTTTGACCCCAGGGCTTTTATTTGAACAAACTTGGTAGACACTCATTAGAAGATGTTTCATGCCAAATATCTAAGCTCTAGCTCTTAGGGTTGTTTAAAAGAAGATATTTAAAGATTTTTCTTTCGGTTGCCATGGCAACCAGAGTTCTGCATGGAATTAAATTCTTTGAACAATTTTTAAAGGTGACCACCAAAGGAACATACCTGTGAAGTTTGGGTGAAATTGGCTCAGTGGTTTATGAGGAGATGTCATTTAAAGCAAAAGTTTACGGACGGACGACGGACGGACGCCGGACGAAAAGCGATCACAAAAGCTCACCCTGTCACTTTGTGACAGGTGAGCTAAAAATGGAGGGATTTGCATTCCAGCTGCATTGCCAGCCCTTATTTAAAAAGTTACAGTTTTACCACGCTCAGACATGATAACTTGTGCCTTACAATCTTTTTCACTTACAACAATAGAGGTTTATATTCATATTAATTCCCTTTTCATCAATATTATAGATAAGGTGTGGTTTGTCAAATAAATCATATTTACGTAAAATTCTTTCGAATTCATTAAAGTTCTTAGTTACAGATTCTTCACTGGCACATTTAGCACGTTGCTCAGACAGACTTAAAGGACGGACAACATTAAGTTCTGGCCACCTTTTTATGAAGTTATAGAACCAATTAAGACTAAATGGCTGATCATCTTTCCTCTTGCCTAAGGAAACAGCATAATCAGAGGCTAAATTGACCACTTCAGCCCTCGTGAAACCATATCCAACTGAAGCAATGTCTTTTAAGTGTTCACACAATTTAGCTTCTTCATCTAAAGAAAGCATAGGGCAGGGTCCTGATTTTACACAATCAATTGAAATTCTATTATCAACCCGGTCTCTCAAAGTAGTAAGAGGAACTCCATTTAGCTTTGCAGCTCTATATACTAGAATTCCTTCACCTTTCACCATTTTATAAGCTGATGCCATGGGAGTTGGTGGCCATAATCGTAGCCTTGACCTATATGCAATTTGAGTAAGCTGAAAAAAAAACAGAATAAACAATTTTTAATGCATAATTTGGCTTATTTTGAATACCACAAATATTAAACATTGATTAATAACAAAAATGTGTTCATCTATTTTATAAGATGGTCTTAACATCAACTTAAATTCAATGCAGATTATGTCCAGTCTGTATTTAACTATTGCAAATAATAAGATCTATGGCCCTGATTTGCTTCCGTACTTAACTTTTTGACGTATCACATGGTCTATTTTTAGAACTAATGTTGATTTGCTTGCGTCATCCATCGGCTGCTGCCAGAGGCTTGCAGATAGATTCAAATGGAGGATTGTATTAAACAGAAAAAAGCATTAGTGAAAACTGTATAAAATTAATGGTTTGTAAAAAAAAGAGTAAGTTTACCTTTATCCTGAACATTTTTACCGTGAAAACAGTTTATATTTGTTTGGGTCGTCAGACCAAACAAATAATGGTAGCGAAATTTCAGACCCTGATGCTGTTAATTGCAAATGCAGAAAGTAGTCCGCTTTTTTGAAGCGGTTTCTTCCCTTTATGTGTACACTAACGCCGAAAAATTCAGGGGAGATCACTGCGTAAATGTTGTCAAATGACAGGCGCATTTACTTTCAAGCAAAATAGTTCCCGAATGGTCGAAGATTTCTAATATTGTTTTATTCTTTATATACATTCTTAAAGTAAGCTCCATGATTATTTACATATGTGTTAAACAACAGGTTTAGCGTTGAAATAATAAGAGGCAAAAACCCTAAGTTAGGGATATTCAGGCAAAAAAAAAATTTCAAAACTATCAAAATGATCTTATGAACACAAATCACGCTAAAATGACATTGCATGAATTTCTGTTTAAATTCTACATATTTTTGGTTTTAAGCGTAAATATATCTATTTATAATGAACAAAATTTAGACGCCAATAAAATCACCGAATAGTTTTTAAACAAGTCATGTGACTTGAATAAACATAACAGATATTGTGGATATTCTAGGATTAAAACAAGTCAGTCTTAAAGGGAGACACAGGCAAAATTTTCATTTCTTAGTTTTGAATTTTTCATTCATTATTCTGTAAATGCCCTCAAAATGAATATATTAGACAGTCAAAGGAACAAAACTTTTCTCCATATAAAGGGTAAAATGGTGGTTTCGTAACTTGACCCGCGTGGGTCAGGTTAGAGCGCTAGGATTTCACAATAGTTGTAAAAGTGAACTCTAGAAACGTTGAAGAACATGTCAAATGAATGACTTAGACTTGTTTCAATCATACAATATCCACAATATCTGTAATTGTAACTTCAAGGGTTTGTTCAAGTCATCTGACTTGTTTTAAAACTATTTGGGGATTCTATTGGCGTCAAGATTTTGCTCAACATATTTTTACGCTATTGAGACACGGACGTCAGTCGATCACAATTGGTAGCTCGAGCCTTGGGTTTCGAACTTGGGTAATAATGGACAATATCTCTTATGGATAGCTATCTTGATCAGCTTCCAGCTGTTGATTTCCTTTTAAAACCCTAATTCTTGTGATAATTCATGTGATGCAATCGAAAAACTAAGACTTGTGATAAATTTAAAACTTCAATTTATTCATTTAATAAACACATATATCCTTTCTCTTTCAACAGTCAATCGCAATCATATTTTATACAAGAACAACTTATGTCATCAATACATCACTATTATTCCATTTACAAAACAGTCATTTTCTCTCTCAAACTTGATTACATTCAACAAATTCACAAATTCAGACATATAAGGCAGATAAACTTAAATAACCATTCAGGACTGTCAGTAAGCCTTGTAAAACTGCTACAATAAAATTATCAGCTTAAAATTACTTTAAATATTACTTATCAAATGTTAATTTCATGTAAAGACTTGTAGAAAATATTCACCAAAATCAGTTAATGTGCCTTAAAGATTGTTGTTTCTCGAATAAAATTTATGCTGTATTTAGCAAGTTGTTTTGCGTGTGTCCTCGAAAATGAGCTCACAGCAGTTTATATACTACTCAGACTTCACACAAAAAATGTGGAAGTTCACATTTCACAACTTGTGAAGTTTGCCAACTTCACATAAAATCATGTGAACCCAGCTTCACATAAAATAATGTGGAACTGTGAAGCTCACAGTCACTGGAAACAAATGAGAATTTTAATATTTAAATTACCAATATATCAATAATTATTAGTCTTATTTAATAGAAATATAACTAATACATAAGATTATAACCTCAAATTTTCTTTTAAGGGGGTAAATAGTTTAAAATTGTTGATATCTCTGCATTGACAAGTAAACAATAAAAGGAAGCTGCAGTTGCTAAGCAACTACCCACAATGCAATGTATACAGACATGGCTGCTTAAACCAGGAAGTAAACAAGAAAAGCATTGATGCAAAGCATCAAAGGGCGTCCAAGCAAGAAATGCAGCAAGTGAAGATGAACTAGTAGACATAATTATGATGACAACTTTTCAATTGTTAATTGGTTTTTACCAGAATTGTATATCACTTATCAATGAATGGACGAAAGACTTTGTCCATTATGAACTTTGATTGGCATGTTAGAGATTAGAATATTACTTGTTATTTCTTTATGATCGTGATTATTAATAGCAACGGATATACATGTAAACAATCATTTATAATCCATATTGTAATGATATTGAGTTATTTTATATTCATATGACCTTTAACCTTAATACTCATTTCTGTAAATTTCCACTGACCACGTTGTGCCTGTAGAATGTTATATCCTGGGAGATTTCCCGCCAATGCATCAGTCCAGATAATAAAACTGACTAGAACACACTTGTGTCTTTTCTCTTATTATATTCACATTTGTGAATCGCATGGACCAACTTTAATAGTATATAAGATATTTAAAGAATATTACATGGTGTCAGAATTTATAGTTGGAATAAAAGATATACAAAATATGGAATTAACAGGACTTTCTGTGCCAGTTATAAACTGGGAAGCGTCAAATCTTCCTGAACAATGGATTAAATTTCAAAGGCATGTTGAACTGATGTTTACAGGGCCGCTCAAGAACAAAACAAAGAAAGAAAAAAATATCATATTTGTTGATATGGGTCGGTGACAAGGGAAGGGACATTCACGCTACATGGGAACCCTTCACTGGTGATGATGCTGAAAATCTTCAGACTTATTACGATAAGTTCAAAGCACATGTGCAGCCGTCCTTGAACCCGATATTTGCGAGGTACAAGTTTAACAATGAAGTGCAAGGCACTGACAGTATTGATGCCTTCATCACAAGATTAAGACTAAGTGCAGCAGATTGCAGCTTTAAAGACAAGGACGAAATGATCAGAGACAGAATTGTTTTTGGGACAAATTCTGGAAAAGTACGAGAGAAGTTGATAAACAAAGGCGAGGGATTAACACTCGAAAAAGCTATTCAAATCGCACAAGCACACGAATATGCACAGAAACAACTTCAATCAATGGCAGCAGCTAATGATGTACACCTGGTTAAGCAGCACAAATCAAAACATAAAGGATACAAGAACCAACCATTTCAACAACCTAAACAACAACAACAACAAAGAAATTATCATAACACTCAAAAACAAGATGGAAGAAAACCACTGAAATGTCAACGATGTGGACAGAACACTCACAGACCAGGGTCAAAATGTCCAGTTGAACATGCAACGTGTTACGCATGCGGAAAGCAAAATCATTTTGCAAGCGTTTGCAGATCTAGAAATAAAAACGTTGACAATGTGAAGTATTCTGAATACAATTATAGTGACAACGTTCATTCGGAAAATCAGGATTATTACGTTGATATGGTAAAATTTTCATCTTCTACTCCTGATCGTGCCTTTGTTCCAATTAATGTCGGTCCTTCCCATATTCCTGTTAAATTTAAGATAGATACTGGGAGCGCGGTAGATATTCTACCATTGAGTCATTATGAGAAATTAAAGATAAAACGACCTCTTGAAATCGCAGAAAATAGATTAACATCGTACACAGGCAACATGTTACCTGTATGCGGTACAATAAATCTGCAATTGCGCTACAACAACAAGACTAGCGAGTCATTATGTTATGTTGTTGATAGTCCGACAGTCCCGCTGCTAAGTTTACAATCGTCTGTTAACTTAAGCCTGATAAAGCTCACATATTCAATAGACAGGTCAAATACAGAATTAGATAAACAAAGGGTCATGTCAGAGTATGGGAACTTATTCCAAGGTGTAGGGGTTATCCCAGGTGAATGTAAACTTCAAATTAAGAGTGATGCTGTTCCTGTAATAAACGCACCTAGGCGAGTGCCGGAAGCTTTAAGGGACAGGCTTCACGAAGAACTCCAGCGCATGGAGAATGATGGAATAATAACTAAGGTCACTGAACCCACTGGCTGGGTAAACTCCCTAGTCATTGTAGAAAAACCAAAGACAGGTAAACTCAGAGTTTGCCTTGATCCAAAAGCTTTAAATGAGGCTATAAGGCGACCTCACTACCCAATGCGTACTATTGACGACGTTACATCAAGACTGACTGATGCAAAATACTTCAGCATACTTGACATAACACACGCATACTGGAGCATCAAACTTGATGAACAGTCTTCATTATTAACAACCTTCAGCACGGTATTCGGCAGATACCGTTGGTTAAGACTCCCATATGGCATATCTGCATCGAGTGACATATTCATGCAGAAAGTAGATGAAATTTTTGAAGGATTACAGGGTCTAACAGCCATAGTAGATGATATTTTGATATATGGCAAGACACGTGAAGAACATGACGCAAACTTGCGTAACGCCCTTGAAAGAGCACATTCCAAGGGAGTAAAGTTTAATTCGGACAAATGTATCATCGGGGTAAATGAAGTCCCATTCTTTGGTCACCTTATAACATCAACAGGGTTAAAGCCAGATCCTAGTAAAATAGAGGCAATTATGAACCTCAAAATACCAGAAAATAGACAGCAACTTGAAAATGTTCTTGGTATGGCAAATTATCTGCAAAAATTCTCTCCAAACCTAGCAGAGGTCACAAGCCCCATGAGATCCTTACTAAAGAAAGACGTAGAATTTGTTTGGGATTTTTCCCAGACAGAAGCATTTACGAAAATGAAAAACATAATCACAAGTACCCCTGTTCTTGCATACTTTGACCCAAAACAGAGTGTAACTCTTGAATCTGACTCTTCGATGCGTGGGGTCGGCTCAGCCATCATCCAAAATGGCCGCCCAGTTGCCTTCGCTTCTAGGACATTGACAGAGACTGAATCTAATTATGCTAACATAGAAAGAGAGATGTTAGCAATACTGTTTGGTTGCACGCGCTTCCATCAGTATGTATAGGGTAGACATGTAATTGTACACTCCGACAACAAACCTATTAGCTCAATCATGTTGAAAAGTTTGTCTGCATGTCCACCGAGACTTCAAAGAATGCGGTTACAGTTATCAAAAATATGACCTTGACGTACGCCACGTTCCTGGAAAACAAGTACCAATCAGTGACTTACTTTCTAGACAACCGCTTCCAGAGACATTACAATTAGAGGTCTCGACTTACATGTACATACAGTGTTGAAAGGGTTACACATAACCGATAACAGACTGGAATCAATCAGGCATGAAACTCAAAATGACACGAACATGCAGCTTCTGAAGAGAACTATTATTGACGGATGGCCAGTTTCACGTGCAGACTGTAAACAAGAAATAATTGAGTTCTGGAACCACAGGGACGAATTGTCGTCTGTAAATGACCTTATATTCAGAGGGCAGAGAATCGTCATACCTGTCTCTGCAAGAAAACAGGTGATTGAATCAGTGCACCAAGGTCACATGGGTGTAGAAAAATGTTTACAAAGGGCTAAAGACGTAATGTTTTGGCCTGGTATGACAAAAGAAATCACAAATCATGTTTTAAAATGTGCTTTATGTCAAAAGTACAGGTATTCCAACGCAAAAGAACCATTAACTCCCCACGACGTGCCGGACCGACCTTGGCAAAACATTGCCGCTGATCTCTTCTCCTTTGACAGTAAGGACTACTTGCTGACTGTAGACTACTATAGTAGATACTTTGAGGTAGATGCTCTACCTAACACGCAAAGCATTACTATAATTAGAAAGCTAAAAATTCACTTACCAAGGTATGGCATTTGTGACAAACTTGTCACTGATAATGGGCCACAATTCTCTTCTGAAATATTTTCAGATTTTGCAAAAGATTGGGGGTTTTCCCACATAACATCCAGCCCACTCCGCCCAAACAGTAATGGATTGGCCGAAAGAACAGTGTCGATTATTAAACGGATATTCAGGAAAGCTCAGGAGAGTAACCGAGATCCTTATCTCGCGATACTTGAGTACAGAAACACCCCTCTTGAATGTGGCTTCTCCCCAAATCAATTACTAATGGGTAGAAGAACTAAATCTATTCTACCTACCACAAATTCTCAGTTACAACCCAAAACAGTAAATTGTAAACAGGTACGCGAAAAGATGCAAAAAATAAAGCAGAAACAAAAAAGTTGCTATGATAAAACATCAAAGCAACTACCCCTTCTTACACTTAATGAGTATGTCCGCATCAAGGTCAACAAAACATGGGAACCAGCAAAAGTGATAAAAATTCACAATGACCGATCCTTCTCTGTAATAACTCATGCAGGTGGCATTTACCGCAGAAATAGGCGAATGCTTAATAAAACTGAAGAAACTTTCCCAGAAATTCAGGAATTTTCCCCAAACATTTTGGCTAATAACCCTATCACTCCCTCAATTAATGGAAAAATTTCAGAATCACACAGATGCTGACCACTCATTGACCTCCAATAAGCCCAGCCCAATTGACGACTATTATCACACACGATCAGGCAGGGAAGTGAAATTGAACAAACGATATTATAATGAGAACATGGTGAACAATTAAAAAATATATATACTGAGTGTTTTACTAAGAAAACATCACAAACAAAAATTAAACCATAAGGAAAAAATATATAAACTGGAATAAACACATACATTGTTTGATAAACATATATTGTTTATATAAACTGATTAATTATTTAATTGATATTTAAACATGTGTTATTCTAACGTTATTTTTAAATTGAACCATATTCCTTTATGATTTATTAACATGTGGATACCATTCAGCTATGCATTTAAAAAGAGGGAAATGTAATGATATTGAGTTATTTTATATTCATATGACCTTTAACCTTAATACTCATTTCTGTAAATTTCCACTGACCACGTTGTGCCTGTAGAATGTTATATCCTGGGAGATTTCCCGCCAATGCATCAGTCCAGATAATAAAACTGACTAGAACACACTTGTGTCTTTTCTCTTATTATATTCACATTTGTGAATCGCATGGACCAACTTTAATAGTATATAAGATATTCAAAGAATATTACACATATGTGTAACGTATGATCAACAGCACACTTGTGTAATTGTCCCTCATTATGTTATCGCTATTAGCGAAGACCCCTCTTAAGGTATCTGTTCACACTTAGTAAAAATATGACACTGGTTATATTACCATGTTGATCATGTTGAGCATAATTGTTTATTATACAATAATTATAATATCTATTTTAATAAAAAAAATACAGATTTTTTGAATATTGTTTTCTTTTCTTTTTTGTGTTTTATGTGCTATTTCAATACTGAGATTTTACGTTTTCTACCCTTTTTTTATTAAATTGTAAAATAGATTTTAAGAATTAAATTGTCATATTGACCGATGATTATAAGTCAAAACTTAAGTGGAAAAAGTCAGTAAATTATGGTAAATCTTTCAAAATATAATATTGCTTATTCTTAAACAATGTACATGTACATTTGTATTTTTCTTTATTATTTTTTAAATTGGAATAATTCATATAATCTAATTTGTAACTTTGAAAATTCCTCGGCATCTTTACTAAACACGAATAACAAATTAAATAAAATGTTTCAAAGTTGATAGTGTCATATTAATACCATAAAAATGTACCTTTTTTCTCAATGATTGTACATATTTATTGTTTTTATCTCATATAGATAAAATGAAACATGCTATTGTTGTTGTTGTTTTTTCGAATTACGTTTATGTATAATAATAATCAATAAATTTTAGAGTTTATCTGTGTTTATTAATTATTGTAACCAAACTAAGTGACAAACATTCGTTTTGGAAAATATTTGTTCTGTTCTGTAACGATATCAAACATCTACTCCAAATCCGGGAGAGACCGGACAATAAACGTGTGATACTATTCGCCGGTCACTAGTAAATCCCGGTCAAAATAGACCGTGAGAGACCGGGATGTTCCGATAGGAGTACATCCCTCTATAAATAGATTTTTTCGGAACAATTCATCATTCTATTTAAAGCTTTCGGATACATGTACAACAATAACGTACTATGAACTACAAAATGATGAATAAAAAAACCCCGAAGAGCGCGATTTATTGACGGAAAAGGTTATTTCATTTGAAAATGTTTGCATTGCGAAATTCTCCAGTTCGCTATTCATTGTACATATCGCGACATTTCACTTTTAATTAATAATCAAGCAGTCTCATACCGATCGGAATGATCGGCTTTTATTATGACAGACTAAAAGGCTCGAGAAGTTGCTGTCGCCCTTTCACAAAATCTGATTTCATCCAACACATAAACCCCCTTAAGGGCCCCACAGATTAGGAACGCAGCGGTCAGCGGCCAGGTTAGTCATTACGAGGCTTCAACGGTTAAGGTTAGACGTATATACAAACTCAGAGAAAAGAAAATCAATTAAACTAATAATCAAAACTAATTAATAATCTTAGGATTTCGGATTTAGTGGTCATTTTAGATATTTGTGTAATTCGAGGTTTTGGAATTATGGAAGAAGAAGATCAGGTAGGATTTTTAAAAAATATTAACCTTTAATTGAATGACAAGAATTGTATGTTGTACAAAATTATTTTTGATGAAATGGATATCACATTTCTCAAATATATGCTATGAAATTTTACAAAAATTGAATTACTTGCTGAAATGGATACCACGTTTCGCAAGTTAAAGTTATTATATTAAGTGTAATAACTATAATGCTTCGACAATGTATGAAGAGAATATTATATCACAATACTTGCTGAAATGGATACCACGTTTCGCAAGTTTAAATTATTATATTAAGTGTAATAACTATAATGCTTCGACAATGTATGAAGAGAATATCACAATTCTTGCCGAAATGGATACCACGTTTCGCAAGTTTAAATCATTATATAAAGTCGAATAAATATAATGCATTGCCAGTTTATGGATGGATATACGTCCACTGGTTGTTTTAGCAAGAAAGCTAAATGGAAAATTTGAAATTATAAGTTTATTGGTTACGTACAGGAATTATATCATTATATAAATATCTGAGATTTCTCATACAGTCCCACTTTCTTTCCAGTCTATATTGGCACCATGCCAGGGCGGAAATGACGTAGATAGGGACCACACAAACATTTTTGAACGTTTGTCGGAAATGGGAAACAGTACCATTACATCGGAGCCAGGTGCAAAACAGCTTGCAGCATCACTGCAAACGCTCACCGAAACCATGACAACAATGAAACGGGACCTTGATTTATTGCGCAGTGGCAACTCTGACCAATCGGGAGGTAGTACTGCAAAGCGATCCCGGATTTCTCCTGAAAGAGACTTGCAGAGTGCTTGCACGTCAGATGATGATGAATTGATAAATAATTACTTAGAAGAGAATAATGCAGAGGCCCCGGAAGGGGACACAATGGAATGGTTTGATATAGATGATTTTTTTGAAGGAAATGAAGAGACAGGAGAAGAACTTTCAAAAGATTTGGCATCTTTGGCTAACAAAGTCTTAAGAGCCAAACCAAAGGAGGATAAAGCCAAATCATTGGCATTAAAACACAAACGTCCTTGCAATGTGGAAAATCTTCAAGTTCCGAAAGTTGAAGAACACTTATGGCGACAATTAAAACGCGACACGAAGGCGTTCGATTATGCTATGCAAAGAATGCAGGGTTCGATATGCCAGGCTGTAGTTCCCGTACTTAAACTTATGCAAAAAATGAAGACGGAATCTGTATCGTCAGAATTACGGGAGCTAACAGGGGACACTTTCAAGATGCTGGCGCAAACCGTAGTCCATTCAAACGATGCACGGATGGAAAAAATTAAGAGAGATCTGTTACCGGCGTATCGACCCTTGTGTACAAACAAACCATCTGCGACGAAATTATTTGGGGACAGTTTACAAGAGGACATAAAAAACTTACGAGAATCAAAAACCAATTTAACAACAACAGCATCTACCAAGAAGTCTTTTTTACACAAACGGGGAGGGGCACATGCACAGAATTACCAAACATACAACAACCGAAGCAATCAGGGACCCATGGCCTTCTCCCCGAGAACAAACAAATTCCAGTCACCCCCGAGGAATCAACACATTGCAAAGAGGGGCAAACCTATGCGGAAGTAATTAATGTAAGTGGATTAACAATTCGGTTGCAAAATACGATACACAATTTCAAAGCGGGTAAAACAGCTGATAATATGTCTTTTTGGGAGACACTTACGACAGATGATTGGATTTTAAACACTATTAAGGGCTGCAGTGCCGAAATAACAGAAAAACCTAAACAAATTTTAATTCCGACTCCAATAAAATTTTCAAAAGACGAAACAGAGAAAATACGAAATGAACTAAATCGGTTTTTAAAATGCGGCATTATCGAACAGGCACCAAGCAATACGCGTAACGAATTTATTTCTAACATTTTTATTAGACCAAAGAAAGACGGACGCGTGCGTATTATATTGAATCTCCGACAATTTAATGAACGGTATGTTAGCAAACTTCATTTTAAAATGGAATCATTGAGATCGGCAGTTAATGCTATGCGGAAAGACGGTTATATGGCTTCAATTGACATTTCGGACGCCTATTATTCTATCAAAATCCGGGAAACTGATCGTAAATACTTTAGGTTTCTATTCAATGGTATAAAGTACCAATTTACTGCATTAGTAATGGGTTATTCCTGCAGCCCCAGAATCTGGACTAAATTAATGAAACCAGTGTTTGCTTATCTAAGGTCAATGGGTCACACGAGTGTATACTTTATTGATGATTCTTGGTTATTTGCTGATAATTTCCATTCATGCTTGAAAAATGTCCGGGAAACGGTAACATTAATGGACAAATTAGGACTAACAGTTAATTTGAGCAAATCGGTTTTTATTCCCTGTACAAAAATTACATTTTTAGGGTTTATCTTGTGCTCAGTAAGTATGACTGTTCGACTTACAGTGGAAAAGATAAACGATATCGTTTCACTGTGCACAGACATACTGCATAACAGAAGAATAACTATTCGCCGGTTCGCAAAATTGATTGGAAAACTTAATGCAGCAGAACCGGGGGTTAAACATGCTCCGTTGTATATAAGACCGTTTGAAAAGGTAAAAGAGTATCAATTAAAATTACATCACGGAAATTTTGATAGTTTTATGACTATACCACAACTTTTAAATACACAATTACACTGGTGGATCACTAATGCTAAAAATAGTTGTAAACCTGTTTCAGTGGGGACTCCTTCCATGGTTATATATACTGATGCTTCTCAGAAAATGTACGGATGTTACAATAAAACACACAATATTGAAACCAATGGTTTTTGGTCAACAAAGGAACAACAATTACATATCAATGAATTAGAATTACGAGCTTGTGAAATAGGTTTACACACTTTCTGTCAGAATATTTCTAATTCACATGTCAGAATATATACC